CCGGTGCGCCCGACCGCGGCCCGCGCGAGCTCGGCGCACACCGGTCTCCTTGCCGCGCGCGAGCCACGCGGGCGCCGGACGCCCCAGCGTTGGTCCTTGCCGTTGGGGGACGCAGACGGGGACAAACCCTTGGAGGTCTTTTACCAAAGGTCCTCCGAGGGGCAGGAAAGTGGCCTTTCCTCCCGTGGCCTGCTCGCGACCCGGGCAGAGTGGTGTAACTGAAGAGGAGTGTCGTGAGCGCCTCTGCTTTCGCTTTGTTGGCGTTGATCTTTGTCAGTAGCTCCGGACTGGCCCCGAGCATCACTTTCCTTACAACCAAAACCTATCGGAAGTAGGCGGGTGCACACTAACCACGTGGGAAAGAGATCCCCACAAGGCTCCATGGTACCTTTCCCGCGGCTTTTCACTCCAAGACCCTGTTGAGCTCATCTTACAGTACGTGGCTCTAAGTCGTGATATTTCTGTGTAGAATTCGTGCGAAGTACGTAGTGAAGTTTGAGGAATTAGAGGGCGTTCCTGTCCGTTGAAATCACACCACTTAGCCGGAGTCATAACCTCTGTTGTGCTGGTCCCACACCGCGATGCTAAAGATCTCAGGCTTTGGAAAGGCTTGGTTTAGAATTTCAACTTTGACACCTGATAGTTGAGGGGTCATGGAGTAGTTGTCCTCCCCAAGTCTCAGCCTCCTCACTCGACAGTTAGAGATGATGATAATAATCATTATATTGAGAAGCAGTAAGACCAGAATTGTGTTCCATTCAGTTTCTGTAACTCTTGACAAAGGGCATTACTTTTTCCTTCCTCATAGAGCACACGTAAAGTATATTCTGTGATTTATCACTCAAAATTGTTTGCCTAGCCTTTTTCTGTAACTTATTTTAATATATTTTTTTTATTTTTTAAATATATCTTTATTGATTTCAGAGAGAGGAAGGGAGAGGGAGAGAGAGAGATAGAAACATCAATGATGAGTCATTGATCGGCTGCAGCCCGCAACCCCGGCATGTGCCCTCACCGGGAATCGAACCCTGATCACCTGGATCCTAGGTCAACGCTCAACCGCTGAGCCATGCCCGGCTGGGCTTATTTTAATATTTTAGACGTTTCCCCAATGAGCTCCTAAACTCTGTCAGGGCAAGAATACTTGTTTTTTTTTTTGTTGTTTTTTTTTAAGTCCACAAAAAACTTAGTATGATGATGAAGTATTTCTTGGCAGATTTCAAGCAGAGAGAAAGATATTTCTTTTCTATAAGTTATCAGTAACATTTAAAAGTATGCAGAATATCAGATTGACTTTTAGTTGAAGTATAATTTACATTCATAACATTCATACTTTTTGGTGTACCGTTTTATGGCTTTTGAAAAATGCTTAGTCATGTTACTGTCACCACAATGAAGATATAGAACAGTTCTTGACATCGCGCCCCCCAATTCCCTCCTACCCCTTAGTGCTTAATTCCCTCACCCCATACCCTGTTGGCAATCATTGATTTGTTTTATGTCCCTTTAGTTTTGTCTTTTCTAGAATATCATATAAATGGAATTATACGGGTGTAGTCTTTGGAGTCTAGCTCATTTCACATGGCACACTGTAGTACAGTTTCATCCATGTGTCTGCAGTTGTTCCTTTTTATTGCTAAGCAGTGTTCTATTACTTTTCATAATACTGAGCTAAAGTTGATGTTCCAAAATGGAATCGGTTGGCGGAAAGGCAGGGATAGCAGGTAACGGTGATGCCCGCTTTTAGTTACTTATTATTTATTAATTTTTATCCTTACCCTAGGAGATGTTTCCATTGATTTCAGAGAGAGAGACATTGATTTGAGGAAAAAACATTGATTGGCCATCTCCCATGCTCCAACCCGGGATTGAACCTGAAACCTAGATATGTGCCCCAACGAGGAGTGAGCCCCCAACCTTTTGATGTAGGGGAGGACGCTCCAACCGAGCCACTAGGCCAGGGTGATGCCTGCTTTTAGAATGTTCGGTGAATATTTCATCAAACATGGTAGATTTACTTTTGGAATACATTTTTTAAAACTGTATAACCTTCAGGGCTTTTTGCATAGTGAATTGTTTACACTAGACTAGCAGTGATTTTCAAATTGTTCTTTTTTGAAATAATTATAAAATGAATCTCTTTTCAACTTCAACATTTTCTTAGAAAATCTTACATTCTAGCCCGGCCGGGCGTGGCTCAGCGGTTGAGCATCGACCTAGGATCCAGGTGATCGAGGTTCGATTCCCGGTCAGGGCACATGCCCAGACTGTGGGCTAGGCAGCCGATCAGTGATTCTCTCATCATTGACGTTTCTATCTCTCTCTCTCCCTCTCCTTTCCTTTCTCTGAAATCAATAAAGATATATTTTTAAAAAAGAAAGAAAATCTTACATTCTAAAAGATTTTTTTCATTTTGCTCTCTCAGTTTTTTAATGAAGCATTGTCGTACACTTATAAAAAATTGTGAGCAAACAAAAATTTGTGCTAAGGTTTTCATGAAAGCACTTACTGCCAAATTATATTTTCTATATTTTTATGAATATATTTAGACTCACAATATTTCAATTATCATTGTGCTGAACACATTACTTATAATATTTCCTGAATTTTACATTTCATGCTTTTGATTTTTTTTTTAAAAAAAGATGGCCTTCTAATATGGAATTCTCAAATACTTTTGGGTAGCCAAATCAGAAGAGATATAAACCAAACTTTAAAGGAGTAATTTAAAATTGAGGTTTCTTAATCTAAAATTGAATTTTGTTTAAAATTGAAGGTTATTTTTTGTCATTTCTATGTGCCTCCTTTAAAAAACCCCTCAAATATTAGTTGGATTTTAGCTTTCATTCTAACTTGAGATTTATTTCTGTTTTATCTGTTTATTTATTTCTAATTATTGAATTATGGAATACTTCAAACATATAAAGTAGAGAGAATTATAAAGCAAACCTCCATATATCCATTACTTTCAACAGATACCAACTCATGGCTAAATTTTTTTACTGCCCACTCATCTCCACTTATTTTGTAGCAAATACTAAATATGTCATTTTACCTATAAACATTTCAGTATATATCACTTAAACACAAAGACTCCTGTTTTTAAATATACAATAACGCCATCATCACATACAGAAATCAACAATGCGTTAATATCACCAAATATCCTGCCCTTCTCATTTCCCTGGTTGTCCCATAATGCTCTTATTGTTTCATTGATTGATTTGTTTACTTATTTTTGAGATTTGTATAAATCAAGCTTCAAACAGTCTTTATGTTTTGATTGCTAATATGTTTTTAAGCCTCTTGTAATTTATGGGTTCTCTCTTTATGTTGATACCCCCTCGCCAATATACAAGCCTCTGCTTTTTTATGAGTGGGTGGGTGTTGGAAAAAAACTACTTCTTTATTTTCAAATTTTATTTATTGATTTTGGAGAGACAAGAAGAGAGAGAGAAACATCAATTTATTGTTTTACTTATTTATGCATTCATTGGTTGATTATTACTGGGGATCTGCAGTCTTGGCATATCAGGGATGACGCTCTAACTAACTGAGCTCCCTGAACAGGATGCTACTTCTTTTAAAAAAAATAATGACATTATCCCATTCATATTTGATGTAATAAGTGGTGAATTTAGTTTTACTTCAGTCATCTTTTTTTTAATGTTTTCTGTTATTTATGTTTTCTTACTCTTGACTACCCTTCTTGAAGCACAGCCTTCATTTTACTAGAAATTGACTATTTTTATCAAGTGAGATCTGAGTGAATGCTACAGCCTGTGTCTTCCTACCTAGCTCTGATAGAATTTCTCTGAGGGAACTGTACTCAGTACTTAGTATGCCTTCTCTTTCAGCGTCTGCAAGTGGGAATCTTTTAAGTGTCAGTATCAAGTCAGAGTTGTAGTTCCCTATGAGAAAGGGGGAAGGAGCTCATTGAGATACTTAGCACATGCTATTGTTAAGAGGTTTTTGTTTTTGCTATAACTTTATTTTGTGACATCTTACAAGCTGTTCATATTAGTGATAACTAAAACCCCCTGTGGGAGCACTGGTAGCATTTTCAAATTCCTTTGACTTGACCCTTACCATTTATTTGCCTCTTGCTTTCCATCCTTTTGCTCTAAGCTTAGAATTTCCTCAGTACTTCTTTTTGAGAAACCCATATAGATTCTTTCCAGTTTGGCCTGTATGTCTGTGCTGATTCACAGGCCAGTCAGCACTGCTGAGTTTGCCTTCCATCTCATTCTGTATCATTTATGGATTTCTCATGTGACAAATATTTATTCATCACTGCTTTATGCAAAACATATCCATTTTATGTATTTCAGATCTATTGGCTTCATTTTCTGGCCTATTATTACCTTTC